GTCTCTCGCTTCACCCTCCCCTTCCAAGCGCAAAAGAGAAACAGTGGCCGCCCCTATCTAGTGCTGGTGTTTGGTTTGTCCCCTCTGGGGTACTGTAGAAACAGTTCAACATGTCAGACTCCATGGAAGGCAACCCCCAGCGTCGGTAGATTAAAATGGTTCATTCTAAGGTAACAACAACATACATATGAATATTATTCTATAATATATAATATATAAAGTATAATAATAATATCCTAAATGTTACACACCGGTCAGAATTACCCAGAGCCCAAAGTTACACCTTAACAATGTTTGTTTACCCAAAACCTAACATTTAATAAAAATAGAATAATAAATTAAATAATTAAAAAAAACAGGAGCAATTCCTCACATTTGTGAATCTGTCTTGTATAAACTGTTGGGTAGTTTAATTTACAACAAAACATCACATATCTAGTACTGTATATCCTATATATTATTTTATAAGCTTATTTTGTTAATTAACTAGTAACTAAAGCTGCCAGATAATTGTAGTGAAATCAAAATTTCCCTCTCAAGTGTAGCAGAATAGAAGTAGAAAGTGTCAGTACAGTACATGATTAAATGTACTTGGTTACAAAGGTGAATATGCTTCTGGGACTTTTCTCCATGTCTCGTTGCTCCTAGTCCTTCCTGGTTGATCAAGCTGTTTTCCAACAGGAAACAGTATTTGACCCAGAACTGTAACCAGCAGGACGTCTGTATTTCTCTCTTTTCCCACACCTGTCTTCCTTCTCTCATCTCTCTGTTCTCTTGCTCTTTCTCTCTGTTAATCAAACAACACTGTCTCCTTTTGCTCTTTCTCCCTCCGTCCTTCACCTCAAACTGTAGCTTCACTCGTGTCAGCGTGAGGCTGTGTGTGTTATTTATGGGCTGGTGAATGGAGGGAGATAGTATGAGACCCAGAGCTTGGCCTCTACCCTTCCACTGTCTGCTACTCCTAAATCACCACCGAGTCTGGCTTACTTTCACATTAATGGTTTGTTCATGTCCGTGTGTGTGTGTGTGTGTGTGTGTGTGTGCGGGAGACAGAGAGAGAAAAAGAGAGAGAGAGACAGACAGACAGACAGACAGACAGACAGAGAACAAAGCTGCTATGGACACATGTTAAGTTGGATTTTTGTCTTAAGATGTGAGCTACTGGTATTTAAGTATTTGCCTCCAAAGTAAAAGCAGCAAATTGTTTAATAATGCCATATTAATCTGTAAATTAACTTATTTATTTATTTATTTTGCACAGATTAGAATTACATAAAAAAACGACAAAGATAACAAATAATGTAAAGTGCAGGGAGAGGCAAAAAACATTTCATAGTTATAGTTAAAGATAGAGTTATAGTAGTTATAGTTAAAAAGTTAGAGTTTTTCTCATTGTTAATGTCCTTCTTTATACAATATTGGAATAAATGTCCACATGTTGGTTTACAAACATTTCAAACAGACTGCTCTGAAACAGATCATTTAATTGGCCAAATAAACCCCCACAGGCTCTGTGTTTATTGGCAGGAATTTTATTAGACAGTCAGCAGAATAGTTCCATTTACAGTAAACCAGTGATTGGTTTGATCTTGACTTAGAGTTTCTCCCACACACTTGGAAGGCTGAGCTGTATTCAAATGGTTGCAATCTGCAGTGTCACTACTGGATGCCACTAAATCCCACACACTATAAAGCAAATTATTATTTTATTTTATTTTTTTGGCCCCTTGGGGACAGCAGTAGAAAAAACTGCAAACACAGCAGTGACATAATGTTAACCTATAAAGTTGTGGTGATCATGTTAACACAGTTATTATAATAATGGATTATAATTATCAGTGCATTCATCACTACAACTGACTATTATTACTTTAATAAAGATATTGATTATTGATATAGCAGCTTTAAATATGTTTAGCCAAACAAATAAGCTTTGCTTCACTCAATTTCTGTGATTATTTCTGTGTTTAGAGGAGCCACAGTGTATTTGTAATAAATCTATTTCCCTCATTATAAAAGTACACACCTGTAAAATTAGCTGGTTCACATAAAAACCAGCATTATTTTGGGCACTGGTGTAGCTGAAGACCCCTGTTCCAGTCTCCAGGGTACATATAAAGATGGGTGTGTGAGGTGGTGGTGGTGTGTGTGTG